GACCTCCATGGCGTCAGATTTTTCTGCCTGGAAACGCCAAAAAACAAAACATTTGTCACGTTGCGCTGCGCTAATTTTGGACATTTAAAGCATCAGATGGACTGATTTTTACAACAAAACACATAACATGGAGTCACTTAGTAGCCTTGCAGTAATAAAATCCAAAACTATAAAATTTTGGGTCCGTATTCGTCCTCCAAAAAGAAGCGAAGTTGTTACAGTACACGGCGGCCCTGCATAACTTGTCTGCCCGACTTTTTGGAAGATGGAAATTGATCATGTTTGCTGACGAAATGTTACCCTCTTGGTTTGAATACTCAAAGTGTGAACCCCATTGTACTGTCGGCAATGCATTTCTGTTATAGGTAAAGTTTCGCTTCCTCTGAACTGCGTTTTGAGTTTTTCCTTGGGGCCTCTTTTTTGTGATTGATCAATAATCAGGAGCCGGAGTTGATATGACCGCGTCGTCTTCAGTGTGCACTGTTTCTGCCGTGAAGGGATTATGCAAATTACGCAATAAGTCAATGTTATTGTTTGCGTCCAGACTTTTATCTCAAAAACAGTATCTCGTACAGTATCCCGTTATACAAGTAGTTTTTCTTATTTTTTTAAAAAAAAGGGTATTCTAGATGTGTTTCAGTTTTAATTTTGATAAAATTATGAGCCCAATAACTTTACAAAAGTAATAACAAAAAAAGCAAAATTCACGAAAATAACTCTACCGCATCCTTAAGCATATAACGGGTGGCTGTCTTCAATAAATTCAAATTACAGTCAAAAATCTTTTCCACGTATATTTTTCAGTTTATCGATTTTCTGATGTCGAATCTTTCGAGAACATAGCAGATTCTTTTATAAATGCAATATACAATGCCTTGACTACAGGTAGTGGGTTGCCTGGGATTTCAACAAAGTACAACTCTGTCACTAGTTTATAGCTTGGAATCTGGCAATTGCTCTTCTGCTCTGTTTTATGACCTGTTTTTGTCCCGAAAAAACATTAGTTCGTATGCCACAATATAGTCCTCCACCCATTGCATAAATTAACATATATCTGAGTAATTCATTTGATATTACATTTTAGAGTTCGGAATGCTTATCCCCAGTATCATGTAGCATATCACGGTACCAAATCTGAAAACCTCAAAGATATACTACTTACCCAGCGGCTTCTCATACCAGGTAGGCAGGGAAAATAAAATTACAGTAATAAATTACGTATTAATATCGATTCATTGCTTTAATTTGATCTGCAAAACCAGTTGGAACTTGTGTTTATGCAGTATCGTGTACAATCTAAATAACCTATATAACCGCCCTTTGTTACAGGTGACACCGCTCCCTCCGGTCAAATTGTAAATGAGAGAGAATTCCATATTCCAGCTTGTAACCAATTTGGTTTCAACACGAAGCAAATATTTGTGTCCCCTAGTATATTATACGCTGGGAATCCCACATATGCCACACCTAAAAAGTAAGTTAGTAATGAATTGGAGGAATCATTTGTTTATCAAGACATCGTTAAAGTGTATTTTATCAATTCAAATAAATGAATGGTTGAATGAATGAATCAATGGAGATTCATGCAAACCTATGTTAAGCGATCTAAATCAGACAATTGAATAATTTATTTCTCACCAACAATTCACTATAAGTTGTAACATATTTATTTTTCTTTTCATAATTTGTAAATGCACATTCCTGCATAAGATGGTACGATTGTATAAGTCACCGGGTATACAACGCGAGTGTAGCGTTACAAGTATGGATTCGCCCATTCAGCTATGCAGTAGGAAGACATACTCTGGCAGGAGCGTATGGAATCGACCCATTCTTCAGTGATGACACATTAGAGTGGTCGACGACGAATAGATGGGATGTTATACCATACGGATTACTGGTGAAAATTAGCTAAATGGTTTAGGTTAGGTTAGTCTACATATAAAAAATGCTAAATACTGAGTTGAGATGTGAACGACAGTAGTAACGTCAAAATAATGGGGATACGTGGAATGTTGATTAAAAAAATCAAAACTAGCAATTACTAACCACTTATAATGTGTAGGCAAATACAGGATATGCAACCATATATATTATTTGTTAGACGTACTTAAAATGACCATTCATTATTTTTATTTCTAGCCTGAGACCGCTGAACAAAGGTTAGAGTAGGTCGACAGTGACATTACTTTTACTGACTTTGATAAGCAGCTCATCTCTCCTCCCTCTGTTTTCCTTTTTTGAACAACCCAAACTATTTGTATAATTAGTAAGATAGTGTGAATAATAAGATAATTGTGTTGGTCTGGTGATCAATCAACTTTGCCAATGTGCGGCTGCTGAACAAATGGAGCTGGGTATTGTGTATTGTAGAAAACTGGCATGAATCCAAAATTGCAACCTGTGCACTACTGATCATGCTTTACAGGTTAATGATCACTTAATTGTTTATTTAATAATTGCAAAGTCTACAAACTCACTACAGTGTTTTTGTTTTTGTATGATTAGATAAACTACTGATATATATCTTTAATTTTAGAACATAGTGTTTTTAAATTGGTTCAGTGCCAAATTTGGTCATATACATATTGTCAAAGAATTGTTGATT